TCTAAAAAAAAAAAAAAAAAAAAAAAAAAAAAATTTATAAATAAATATAATTATTAATAATAATGATATTAATTGTTCTTACGTGAATTTCAGATATATTAAATAAATATCTCATTCTTTTAGCAGAATTGACAATCTTTTTAGGAGCTATCTCACTTTCAATTAAAATTCTAATGAAAAATAAAAAAAAAATAATATAAAAATTTGTAATAAAAATTATAATATTTCTAATTTCTTTATTTTAATTTTTTTTTTTTTTTTTAAATGGGAAATATTACGTATTTTTATCCTTCAATATTACTGGACATTCTAATTTTACAATTTCTTCAAGTATTTTTATTTTATCAGTTTTCAATTCTTCATTTTCATTATAATATTTTACAAAGTCTTTCATTTCTAAACCAATACTTGAAAACCATATTGACTTTTTTAGCTTTTAAAAAAAAAAAAAAAAATTAAACAAATAAAGTAAATGAATTTAATATTATTAATAAAAATATTTTTAATATGGCATTTTTTTTTTTTTTTTTTTTTTTTTAATATAACTTGAACTTTACTTTTCGGATCGTTACAACCACAACAAATAACAGAAAAACTTTCAAAATTTTTTAAAAAATTTAGACAACTATTTAATAAAAGACTTTCATTATTTATTATTTTAAGGTTTGTTAATAAAATATTTTGATTATTTTTTAAATCAAAATTATTAATTACAACAGAATCATAAAAAGTTAATTTCCTTATTAAATTAAAATAACATTTTTTATTAAATTTACTTATAATTGTATTCATTTTCTCTTATAATTTTTACTTCTATGTGTATTTTTTAAAGGGATAATAAAAATTTCTATGAGAATATATTTTACACCATATTAGTAACTTATTCACATTTTTAATAAAATTTTTTTTTTAATATATATAAAAAAACATAAGAAATTTAAACTTTAGAAAAAAAAAAAAAAAAGAAATAATAAAAATAGGAAATAATTAAAGTAAAAAAAATTATAACTACATAAATATATTAAAAAGTATATATATATAAATGAAAAAAAGAGATATACTTTAAATAAAGAAGAATATATTGAAATAAAAATATTAATAAAATATAATTAACATTGTTGTTAAACAAAATAAAAATAAAAATAAAATTAATAAATTAAAATAAAACATAATAAATATAAATCATTGACAAATTATAAAAGGTTAAAAATAAAAATGTATATTATGTAATTAAATAAAAAAAATAAATAATTCCTATACACGTATTTTATTATTTCATTTTTGTAATTTTTTTTTTTTTTTCCTTTTTCAAATATTCTTAAATTTTGTAATGTTTAACAAATCATAATAATATTTTTTCCTTTTTTTTTTTTTTTTTTAAGCATATAAATTTTTCATTACTTTATAAATAAATATATTTAAATTTTTTTTTTTTTAAGAGTATTAAAGAAAGTAATTATGTTTAATAGCATTATAGATAATTAAATGCCGCTACTAATGAAACTTTCAAAAAACTAGTTATAGAAAGTTTAAAAAAGAATACAAATAAAAAAATAAAATAATGGATATAATTGAATTAATTGAAAATAGAAAATTTGAAATTATATATAAAAATGTAAAATTAAAAAAATTAGAAAAATTTTTTTTTTGTTTTCAACGTTATAATAATTTATACAAGGGAAAAAATAAATATATAACAAATATATGGAAAAGTATAATTAATGAAAAAGAATATTTTAATAAATTCAATGATTTCACATTTGTTAATTTTAAATATATTTGTAACTTTTTTATAAATATACCTCAAAAATTAAATGATGATGAATATGAAGAATTAATATGCAAAAAAGGAGTTGAGAATAATCCGAGTAATACAACTATAGTAGAAGTTTTCCTTATTCAACTGTTTTACGTAATTAAACAAAATTCAAATATTTTAAAAAAAATAAATGTAGAAGAAAATGAACAAAACAATGATACAAAACAAAATAAAGACAGTGAAAATAGAAATTTTATATGTAACAAATTTCTAAATAAGGATTTTGTCAATTTTTCAAAATTCATATATATAAATGAAAATAATGAATTTGAAATCTTATTTAATATTATTCATCCACTCATTTATAACACATATGTTACTAATTTAATCAAAGATAAAATAGAATCATCTATTATAAATATTAATGAATGTTTTTTAAAGTATATGGTTAATATTTTATATGTTACTTATATGAAAAATAGGGATATATTATTTTTTTATTATATGATTTATAAAAATTTAAAGAAAATAAAAAAAAATATAATCAATAATAAACAAATTATAATTGAACAAAAAATAGCAAAATTTATAAAAAGAAAATTTAAAAAAGTAATTAACAATTTTAAATGTTTAAGAACATTTTTAATTAATATAGGTGACTCTAACATTATTCATAATTTTGTAAATTTTATTTTCACATTTTTATATAATGAATTAATTAATATTAGTTCTAATAAATGGGAAAACAATTATATATCTTATAAAGAAGAAAATAATTTATTTGAATTTTCTTTTTTTATTTATTTATCAATTCAGGATTTATGTGTAAATAGTTCATCAGTTTTTAATTATAATATACAGAAAATAAAAAATATTCTCAAAAATGAGCAAAATATTTTATTTGATATTTATATGTTTCTGTATTTTATTAATAACAGTGATTGTGATAATTGTGTTAAATTAAAATTAATTTTATTATGTTTAATAAAATGGAATATTTTATCTGATTTACCTAAACAGAATGATGAAAGTTTTTTATGCAAAATAGAAGATACTATATATAATGATTTAATTGAAAAAAAAAGTAGTGAACTAAATTATAATGAAAATGAAAATGATGATGATAATAATAATAACAATAATAATATTAGTAGTAGTAATAATAACAACAATAATAATATTAGTAGTAGTAATAATAATAATAATATTAGTAGTAATAATAATAATAATAATAATAATAATAATATTAGTAGTAGTAGTAGTAATAATATTTACAAATATATATCTAATTATTTGAAAAATAATGATGAATTAATAAATTATTATTTAAAAAAAAAAAATTATTATAATTTTAATTATTTATTAAAATACATATATATATGTTGCTATAATAATATTAATAATAAAAAAGAATATTATATAAAATATGACTCTTTTGAAAAAATTGAAAATACATATATGTATAATTACTGTGGATATAGTGATGTCATTTATTCATCTAATTATTTATCAACTAATGTAAATGATGATCTCATAAAAAGTAATTATATTAATATCATATCCATTTTATTACATATGAGCATTATTAATATTAATGACATATGGAGTTGCTATTTATTAAATCTAATTGAAAACAATTATTTTTTTCAAATTTTAAATTTCCTAAAGTATAAAAAAAAAAATGTTCTCTTTTATTTAACAATATCAACTTTTTTAAAAATAAATTATGAATTGATATATGCTTTCATGAATTTGGAAGAACTAAAAGATGTAAAAAGAAATTATGTTGAAATTAATTTTTATGTGGAATTTTATAAGAATAAAATGAAAGAAGAATATTTTTTAAAAATAAATTCATTAAGAAAAGAAATTGTAGATTATGCATCTAATGAAAATAGAATTTTAGATATTCTCTGCTTTTTATCTATGAATATTACAAAAGAGATTATCAAACTTCCATTGAATATTTTAAAAAGTGTATTTAAAGAGATTTTTAAATATTTATCTAAACCAATTCATGATATTAAAAAAAGTATTAGTAATTATTTTAGTAATATGTGTTTGAGAATCGTTTTTTATATATTCGAATTAATATTTATTATATCATCATATATTTATTATTCTAATGAAGTCGAAAACATAAAAGATTATAATAAAAAGTTTTATATTTTTTCTTTTTATTTTAATTTAATAGATGTTTATGTTAATTTTGTTGAAAAATATAATAAAAAAAATAATGCATATATATTATCTTTTTTAAATTATCAATTTATACAAGCATTTCTTTTACTTTTTAATTACTCTTTATACACAAAAAAAATTATTAATGATTCTCTTGGTATTGATAAAAAAAAACATGAAAAAGGAATTACGAATAAAGAGAAAAGAACAAATTTCTCTGATAATTTAAACAAACATATTATTTTTAATTACAATAAGAATAAAAAAAACAAAACTTTTTTTGAAAATTGTAGTAGCAATTATTTAATATCCAATGGACAAAAAAGAACGATGTCTCCTAATAGATTAAATATCATGGAAAATTATAATTACCACAATCAAAACAGTAAACAACTAGAGGAAAACTTTTTAAATGTAAAACAAAAAGAAAATATGGATGTAATGATCATCAAACAGAAAACCCTGAATCAATCAAATTACAATTATATTACTTCTATTATTTTGAAATTTATTGAAAATAATAATGAATATATAAATTGCTATTTTTACACCTTATTAATGTATGCTATAGCTAAATTACATTTATCACATAATTACAGATTTAGAGAAATTAATTATTTAATTTTTTTACATATATTGCCTTGGGGTAGCTGTTTGGATTTTTCTATTAGAAATAGCCAATTAAGTTGTTTTTTTTTTCAAAAATTTTATGAATGTGTTCAGAATTTATTACCAGAAATTGTGGTTGAACATTTTCAAGATGATTTAAATTTCAATACTACAATTAATAAAACCAATATATTAATAAATTGCTTCGATAAAGAAAAACAAAAAAAAGAAAATTTTGAAAGAGAATTTTTTAATAGTGAAATACATAACGAAAACTGTGATGAATTACATAAAATGAAAAATATGATAAGTAAGAATAAAGAGAAAAATTTCGATGAATTAAATAAATACAACTTAGAAATACTTAACTTATATGAACAAATTATAAGTGGGAGAAATGTTATTAAAGCGTTATTTTTTTCAGAAAATTATAAAAAGGTAGATGTATATTATTTGAATAAAATTTTAAAAAGTAGTGTATTAAAAAATTGCTTATTAATTACCACTTTTATTAATATTTATTTTTTAAAAAAAAAAGAACCTTTTCTTGAAAATAATTTTATTGATGTTATTCAAAGTTTATTTGATGAGAAAGTATCCTCATATTATATATCCATTTTTCAGAACCCTCTAAACTTTTTTTTAAATTGTCCTAATGCAATTTGTGAGTTATTAGTTCAATATGATTGCTTAGATAATTTACTTTCTTTTATATTTACAAAATTATACTATTATTTATCACTAATACCTCCGAAACTTTCACCAGAAGATTTTCTACCGATAAATGTAGAAGATATAACTTCTCTTCAAGAAACAGCAGTAGCACAATTTATACTTAATCTCAAAAAAGAAAATTTAAAAGAGAATGATAAGCAAAAAGAAAAATATAAAATAAAATCATACAAATACAATAACCTTATTTTTCAAGATTTAAATTTTTTCTTAAAAAAAATGGATGTATTGGTAAAAACGTTTAATCTAAACTGCTTAAACAGTATATGCGAATCAGGTTTTAATGCAAAAAGTGCATTTTATTTATCTTTTTATATAACCCCTGCAATTTTTACAAATATATTTTATTATTTAAACAATAATATTATGGCAATTGTAAATGAAAATTTTAACTTAGAAGATAACTTAAAATATTATGAACATATTCATATAAAAAAAAAGGAACATACGTTAGAGCCATATAATATAATTGATAAAACTATATTTTATTTACAAATGGTTGTTTTTTACTTAATTATTAATGCGAACAACAAGTTAATGAATATTTCTAATTATATTGAAAATGTTTGTATTTATTTCACAAAATGTTTACAAACATATTCCAAAGCATATGTAGGTAAATTGATTATTTTAATGATACCCATAATGTTACAATACTTTTATTTTTTCCCATCTTTTATACCTTCCGTTATAATGATTTTACCTCAAATTTCTAGTTGTGATAAGGAATTTACAAAAGAAATTTTAAAATTTGAAAATAAAATTAGAAAAATACTTGAAATTTCATATAAATTTGGTTCAGAGCAAAAAATATAATTTTTTCTTTTTTTCTTAACTTTATAAAAATAAACAATATTGTTATCATGTATTAATAAAATAATATGTATCAATAAAATTTTCAAAATAAAGTAAAAACAATAATAAATCATTCAAATTAAAAAAAAAAAAAAAAAAAAAAATGTTTTTTCTGATATATATATATATATATATATATATATATATATATATATATATATATATATATATATATATATATATATTTGTTTATTATCTTCCATGAAGCATAATTTTAATTATTTTTTTCAAGTATATTTGCTAATTCTGCTTGGGTTTTTATATCTTTATATCTACATCTATAAACTACTTCTCCTTTTTGTATTACATAAATAAAATCACAACATGACAAGGTGCTAGTATCATGAGCTATAATGAAAACAGTAGTGTTTTCAAAATAATTTCTTATAATATAATCAAATGATTTTAGATCTTTTGTAAAAAATTTGCTAATTTTCATATTATTATTGTTTGCATTTATTACTGGAATTTCATCAATTAATACTAATTTATATTTATGTCTATTTAAAAATAGTCTAACTACAGATAAATATCTTATGCAATCATCAGTTAAAGGAATGAAATTATTTAAATCTATACTTTTCTTTTTTATTCCACTATGTGTTCTTTTTTTTCTTTGTTTATATATATATTTATCTAAATCTTTATAGCTTAAATTTATACCAATTAATTTAAAAGCATCAACAATTTCTTCATCTTTAAAATTTTTATATGGGTCAATAAAAGTTCTTACATTCCAGTTGAAAAATACAAAAGATGATTGAGGTAAAACACCAATTATATTTTTCTTTTCATCCATATTTATTTCTGTAATGTCTCTTCCTTCAATTGTTATTTTTCCTCCAGTTGTTGGAATTAAACCTAGAATTGATAAAATCATTGTACTTTTACCAGAACCTGATTTACCTACTATACCAATATTTTGATTTTTTAGTGCATAAATATTAATATTCTTTAAACATGATTTTTCATTTACATAATTATATATATTATTTTTTTTATCTATATATATTTTTTTTTTATAACTAACAAAAACTTTTTCAAAATGAATTCCATATTTCTTTTTTGATTCATCGATTGAATATATATTATCTATATTGGAGAGAACATCTGATTTTTTTGTTATATCAGAAAAATTATGGATATTCTCAGACTTTTTTTGAGTATTAATTTTTGAAAATGTTTCTCTACCTGTTCCTTCAGTACTTTCCTTTTCAGTAATCATTTTTGAGCACTCTTCTAGTCTTTGTGTACTACACATTTCTTTTTCTACGTGTGTATAATCATATAATAAACCTTTTATTATATAACCAAGACTACATGAAAAGGTTATACAATAACCGACAACATTTGCACTTTTATCAAATCTTCCTTTATCGGCACTATTGGTATTTCTTAAAAATAAATGCGGATATATAATATAAAATAGAGTTAAAAGCAAAACAATCAGCTGAACATATAAAGATGCCCATATTGTTATTGACCATTTAAAAATAGTATAATTCCTAAATATCCATGTTCGCTCTTTATATATATTTAAAAAGTAATCATTTTTTTTATACAAATTAATTATATTTTTTCCTAATATAGTGTTACTATACATATTACAAAGAGGAGCATGAGAGCTTAAATAACCTCTTTGTGCTTCTTTACATCCTTTAGAATATCTTTTAAAAACAACAAAATAAATTATTAACAGAATAAAAGGAAAAACCAAAAGAGTGTGTTTTATCATATAAATTAATAAAAAAGTAGTAAAGATAAAACGGAAAAAAGTGTAAAACGTTTTATATATTCTTTTTATAATTCCGTTATCTAATACATTAACATCAGTAATAAATCTATTTATTATATTACCCAAATTATTGCTATAAAAAACATGTATTGGTGCATATAAAATATTCATTAATACTTCTGTGTGTACTTTAATTGCTGATACTATAACACCATGAGCTATGAGCATAAAACATGTTAAAGTAGTTACTAATGATATGGATGGTAACAAAATAAAATATCTTAAATAAATCATTTGTTTATTTAAAATTTCATTATTACTTTCTTTTTTATTTTTTAATATTGTACTTGCCATAAATAGTATAAGATTTTTTATTTCTTCTGTAAATATAGATATAAGCATAAAAATAACTATTACTGATATTAATGGAAATCCAACTTTACTTAAATACCATGAGAAAGTTTCCAATTTTATATTACCTTTAAATTTCAATTCATCTTCAGTTTCAGTGACATTATCAATCGTATTATCACTTTTTAATTTTGATGGCAAAGATTTCATTACTTCTTCAAATTCATTTAAATAACTTTCTTTTTTCTTTTCATATAATTCCTTAAAATTGTCTTCTTTAATAGAAATTGAAACTGAATTATTACTGATATTCTTACTGTCATCAATTAAAAATTCACTCTCTAAAACTTTGTGTGTGTTAATTGTGTCGTTTTTACTACATTGTGTAAACGAATTACTTTCACTTATTTTAAATGAATACATAGTTTTTAGTTGTTTTAATAATATAAATTTATTATATTTCATGTCACTCTGTTTTTTATTATATCCTTCTTGATTTGAACATAATTTGAGTTTTGTATCTTCTACATTTAATTTTTTTTTATTTACATAAGATTCTACTTTTACATTTATATTGTTTTTTTTTATATATTCTGAAATTTCTCCTTCATACTTTAAAAGATTGTTTTCTATCTTGTATATATCTACTTTATATTGAAGATTCTTAAGAATATCATCTATTATAAATGTTTCAAATATATTTTCATTCATTGATAAAATATAACTACAATTGTTTTTAAAACATTCTATTTCTTCTTTGTGGCAAAATAAATTATAAAATATATCTTTAGATATACATGGATCAAGACCAGAAAAAAAATCATCCATTAAATATAAATATGATATATTCTCATTTTTTAAGCAATTTTTAACATAATTCTTATTAAATATATCTTCTTCATTACTTGAATTATTATTAATATTATTAATATTATTATTGTAATATACATTAAGTGTACTTCCATGATCACAACTATTATTTGTAACATTTAAACTATTTTGCAAAATATTTGTATTATTATTACTATAATTTACAGAATTATTTTGTTCACAATTATATTTCTGATTATCTTCCTTATTAACTACATCTTTATTATGAACAAATGCACTTTTTTCAGTGGTATTGTTTATCGAATCTTTTGTATTAAATTGGTAAAACTTTTCTGAATTCATATTTTTTTTTAATTTGTTATTTTCATTTATTTCTTTTTCATAATTAATACTTAATTCTTTCATATGTGTATAATGATGATATAAAGCTCGTGCTAAACAAATTCTTGCTTTCTGTCCTTTACTTAAATTATGTTCATCATTAACAAACCTCATGTCTTTATTTTTAAATGATATTAAATCATTTAATAACTCACTTTGTGAAATTACATGATAATAAATTGATGCATCATATTCGTTTCCAAATAAAATCATTGATCTAACAGTTCCTACTGATACCCAATTATATTGAGGAACATATAAAATTGGCATATTATGCAAAATATTTTTCACATAGAAATTACCATATGCTAATTTAAAATCTCCTAAAATAGACTGAAAAAATACAGTTTTTCCAGAACCAACATTTCCTATAATTATAGATAATGTGTTATTTTTTAAATTAAAGTTTACGTTCTTCAAAAGAAAATCATCATTCATGTTATCAATTTTTTTGTTTGGAGTAAAAAAACAATTTTCTAATTTTATTATATCATCTTCCCTCTTCCTTGTCTTATTTTTTTTTTCTAAATATATACTACTGTAATTTTCTGTGCAATTTAATGCATCATTAGAATACTTAACTTTCTTAATACTATTTGTATCATAATTTAAATTATTTAATGTTTCATTTTCTATAGGATTAGTTTTTTTACTTTTATTAAAAAATAAAAATCTAAAAAAATTCCTTGTTTTTTTTTTTTCTTCATTACAATTTTTGTTACAAAGTAAGTCACTTTTTGCTTCATTTTTTGGAAAATCTTCAATCAATAAATTAGTACTAGTATTGTTATTACTAGAAAAATATTTAAAATAATTATTTATATCATTATAATATAAATAATAATAAACATACTTATTTATACGTTTAATATTTATTACACCCTCTATTAAATTATTCATTATATTAGGGAAGTTTGAAATATCTGATATTAATGATTTATATATAAAAAGTGGAGTAATAATGGAGCTAAAATTTACTGTCTTGTTCTTTTCTAATTCACTTTTTATAAATAAAAAGAATAATACTACCTCTACTACACTTCCAGAAATATTATTAATATAGTTACTTAAGGAACTAAGAAATATTCGAATTCTACAAATACGCATTTCTTTTTTTCTAAAATAATTAACATAATCAAAAGCAATAGATTCCCAATTAAAAATTTTCATTAATTTATATTCTTTTAATACATGATGCATATTACCAATTCTGGTATCTCTATATTTTAAGTATCTTTTTTTAAATAAACTTGATGAAAATTCAAATAAAAGCATTATACCATACAAAAATATTATCATCAATGCTCCACTTAATGTTGTATTACCTCCCATTTTAAAAGAAAACATATAAAATGATATAACAAACTTAATTACCATATTAGATAAATCAATCACAGAACTCAAAAAATATATCAAGTATGGAGTATCAACAAACATAATATTATAAATATTTAAATCAAATACCTCTTTTTCACTTTTTTTTTTCTTGTTTTTCTTTTTTTCTGATAATTTTACATTATTATCACATGATAACTTATCTTCATTTTCTTTAAACAAATTTTCATTGTTTGCTAATACTTTGTAATTGTTACCTTTTTCTGGATACCATTCATTATTATTTGAATTTAATACTTTTTCATCTAAATTATCTTTTTCTGTGTCAGTTATTTTTTCCTTTTTTAAATTTAAGTCATCTTTTTCATTTTCATTTTCGTAAGAACCTTTAATATCTTTAAAATTATTTGAAATTTCCTTATTTGCTTCATTTATTGTATCATCTTCTCTATCATATGTTCTTGTATTAGATGAAGTTCTAACAAAATCATTATTATTATTATTTATATGTTGATCACTAACATAAATTTCATTATTATAACAAATAGAATAATAATCTTTTGTATTTAAATATAAATCTTTATGTGAATCAATTTTCTCTTTTTTATGGTGGTGAGAATCGTTATATAAAGCACCATCGTATGAATTATCTGTATAATTGCTCTTTTCTTCCTTATTTAAATTCTTGTTTTGAAATTTACAATAACTTGTGTTAGTTTTTTCATCGTCATCATCATCATCTATATTCATATAAGTATATGGATCCATTAAATTATTGTTATAATTACGTAAATTAATATTATAAAGAAAATGCATCACCGTTATTTCCATATCTACTCGTAATCTATAATCATAATAGCATAAAACCGCATCAAAAATTTGCCCAAAACAAAGTATAGAAATTACAACAATCCCATATGCTATCCTTGAATCACTAAAAAAAGGAGGAATTGATGAATGACTGCTACCTTTTATTAGCAAAACATATTTTTCTACACATAATGCAACAAATATTAAAAATAATGTGTGAAAAATATGAAATAAAGAAATCACACCCAAAGGGAATTTAAACGTTTTTAAAAGCGCCCAAGAAATATTATTATAATGAATATAATATTCACTACTTCTCGTTCTTTTTGATTTAATAGGATACTTTACATATGTGTAGGAATTTCCTTTTCTATATAAATTATTAAATAAACCTGACTTTTTTATACTTACATTTCTTAAATTCTCTCCTAATTTATGCGTATAATATTTGACATTAACGTTTTCTTCTATATTTGGTAATTTAAAATCCTCATTTTTAAGACTATCCAACAATTTTGTCATCCAATTAAATGTAACAAAATTGATCCATGATATATTTTTTACTAGACATCCTTCATTTTTTGTGTCGATATTTTTTGTTTTTTTCTCGTGTATAACCATTTGGTAATACGTAATTTTCTAGATATTTCTTATTTTATATAACTCTCTTTGATTAATAATAAAATAATATATATGTAAAAAGGAGAAAATACAAAAGTCATAAATATATATAAAAACAACTAAATACACTGATATGGTATCATTATTATTAGAAAAAATATGACTGAACTACTATTTATTAAATTGTGATTATCTCAAAAGTATTTAAAAATGAGTGTGACCCATCAACTAGATACATTAATATATAAATATTCAAAATAAAACTTAAGAATTATAAGCATAATTATTAAAATAGAATTATCGAAATTTAAATATTTATATAATATAGTGTCATTAAAGAATATCCATCAAGATATAAATATTAAAAATAATTAATAACCAAATTACATTTATTAAAATATGAATATTAAAAATAAGTATATGCGATAATGAATGTAAAATATAAATGTTAATTCTATACAAAAGCATTAAATATTATATAAGATACAGATATTATATCAATAAATAAAGTATGACTCTGAAAATATGCGATTATTAAAATAGAAAAAATTGAAATATTTTTATTTAAAATAATGACAGATGTAAGGATTATGAAAGAATGAAAGAACTAAAGATAGATTTACTTAAAATACAATAAAATTAAAATAATGCAGAAATTTTAAAACATAGTAAAATGGTATAAAAAATATAAGGATAAAATATTTCATTAAAACATAATCCTTTGTATATAAATACAAAAATTTAAATATATAAATCATGAAATTATAAATATTTAAAATATCATGTTTCGTAGAATAATATGAAAGCAAAAATTAATCATTATGCTTCAAATTATAATGAATACAAAATTTCAAATTTAAAATAAAAGATTTATTAAAGAACTACAATAATGAAATACGAATAATTCAAAAAAATAAATATTCCAAAAAATTGAAATCATTTTATTAACTGAAAATAAATTATTTTAATGTAATATATACTTAAATCACTAATTTATTTTAATATAGTTCATTTTATACATAATGAACAATTTTGTATTAGTCATGCAAATGCAGTTAATCTAAATGTAGAATTTGTTAACATTTTAATGATTCAATTATTTTTGCGATTTTTTTATTCATTTAATACTTTAATATTCTAATAATATATATATATATATATACACAATATTAGTAATTTTATTTTTTAAAACTCCATTACATCTTAAAAATATAAATAAAATGTGATCCCAACTATTAAATATATGGTACTTTATTCTACATTTTAATTTTATTTTTTAATATTAAAAAATATTACTTTATCACTTTATATATGTTGTGTTAATTTTGAAAGTATACTTTTTTAATCCTATATTGTCATGTTAATTTTTATATATTCCACAAGTTGAATATTTTCTGTTTTCATAATATATATATATCTTTTATAAAAAAAATAACTTGCATGCGATCCCCTTTTATATTTTTCTTTTTTTTTTTTTATGTTTAAATAGTTTAAAATGTAATTTATTTTTACATTTATTTTACTACTGTATTAATTTTATTAATTGCAGCAATTATATTATTTTATTTATTTTTTTTTTTTTTTTTACCATATGTTTATATTTTTTTAATTTATAATGATATTTTAGAAAGATTTTTATAAAAAAAAATTTATTACTGTTAAATTGACATTTTAAATGATAAAATATTTATTCCATC